CCAGGTGTGGAATCGCTGTGAGGTCTCTCGCTATCTATCTGTCATGAATATGCTTTTGTCGAACATTATACCGACTCCATCGTCGCGTCGGTTAGCAAGGGCGGCGCAAGCTGTTCAGGAACTGAGGCAGTCTGCGAAAATTCAGCAATCAGAACCTGCTTTCTGCTTTCTTGCAGCTGCTGCGTAGCATCACGGCAATGGCTACAGAAGATCGACAAGAAGACGACGAAGGCACGAGTCAGTAACAAAACCGCATCCTTTATGAAGGGAGGAGGCAAGCAACACGATGCCATTACAGTGCATCAAATAAAGCGGCTCCACGGGAACCATACAGCAATGGGAGTTCACAGTCGGAAAATACAGCATTTTCTGAGTCAGACGGAATGAGCAAAAGGTAGTTCATGAGGTCGCAAGGTACAAAATTCTGAACCTCCGTGGGGGAAAATTATTCTATTCAGATGTTCAATTCAAGAAACGCACTGGGGCCTCTGATATTGGTGTACTTCTAGAAACAAACCTGCCTGGTAGACTCATTGAATAGAAGTCTGTCAGCGGAATGGTGGTAATCCTTGACTGAAGCTACAGCAAACTAAAGCATTGACCTTGTTACAGGTTTATGCGCCCAATTTCGAGGGAAAATGTGACTCTAGCCTTAGAGAACTGGAGTGTGATCTGTGCGAAGTGCCGACTACGGGGTCTCTCATTCTGATGATCGATTTTGATGCGCACGCTCTGTCAGTTAGTTACCATCTATTCACGCTACGCTGTATCAGATGGAGTGACATGCAAAGATTTTGTGGTAGAAGCAACCAGGGAATCAAATCGGAAAAATTATCATTTGCGGATATGAGAGAAAGACTTGGAAAACTTGCAAACAACATCGCTCACGGTTTGAACAGAGCCCAGCGATGACTGCTGATGTGGGATCGAGTGGATGCTCTTTAAGAGCGGCCTACTTGGGGCTGCCGCCGAATGCTGTGGTTTAAAATGGGCTGATATGCTCACTAAAAGTCAGAAAAGATCTTCATGATGGACACGAGAGGCACAACTGGCAGTTAAGGAGAAGAAGCCAGAGTTCAACAAATGGCTAGGAAATAAGGAGCCGTCAACACGCGTGCGATATGTCGAGGCAGGCAAGGCGGCAACCACAGCAGTGGCAAAAGACAAGGCTGATTCCTGAGAGAAGTTTAGTGAGTTGTTGGAGTCGAATTTCCAAGATTCGCGTGAAAAGTTTATGCAAAGGTGTCAAAAAATAACTGACTCAAAGATAGAAAAATAACAGGGTAGCTTCAGGTCAGCAGAAGTACCTCTGAGCAGATCTTGGCTTTTGCCGGCTTATTGAGAAATCGTGAGAGTTTGCTCATCCGGTTTACATTGCTTTGTGGACCTGAAAAAAGCCTCTGACAGGATCTCGCGCAACAGTCAGTCGTCATAAACCATCTACTCTGTCTATGCTGATAGCCGGTGCCTCGTCAGAATATATGACATTGTTAAGACATTTCAGTTTTGACACTGGTTTGCCCCGAGGCTGTATCCTTCCCCCTGCATGTGAACGTACCCAAAAGGAAAAGCCTTACACTTTCTCGTTCTCCTGCCCGTTGCGCCCTGCAGCTACAAGGAGAAGCGCCGCAGCAAGTGCAAAAGATCGAGTCCTTCAGGATCATCCTTACTGGTTATGGAAAATGGGAGGAAGAAATCGATCGACGGATTGGAATAGCCAACGGGTACTATGTGAACTACCTCGAACTTACGTGACTAAAGCAGAGCTGAGTCTGGGGACTACGCACTCTGTGTTCTGGTCGATCTTTACTCTGATGTTCTCCTATGGCTATGAGTCGATGACCTTTGCTGAAAAACTTCGATCCCTGGTGCAAGCTGCTGAAATGGGCTTTCTACGACAAGTCTCTGAGGTCGTGCGTCTCGATATGGTCCAGTATGTAGATATCCCAGGAAGCTGTGGTGCACAGCCGCTGCTTCTCCAGATCGAAAAGCCACAGCTGCGATGCTTTGGGCACATGTTGCGGATGCTTCTAGAAGGGAAGGCGAAGCAACTATCACTTGCCGAGCCGACCGACGGAAATCTTCTGGTAAGCAAAGATTAACCTGGAGCAGGTGTATCGAACCACTCTGTTATAGATTCAGGTTATACTTTGCACAGGCTCAAACACCAGTATCTGAAACGTTCGAGGC